CCGCCCCGCCGCCCCCGCCCCGACACCGCCCCCGCGCTGCACTAAGCGTCAGCAGTCAGCGGGGACGGGCCAAAGACGTCACTTGCGGCTGCGCAGACGTAACGCGCGCAAATAGCGCGCTGCACCCAGCAAGAAAAAAAACAAACAAACCAAACCACCTTTGTGAAAAAAGCAGCCCTCCCCCCCCCCGAAAAACTGCCGTGCCGTAACTATCGTGCCAATTAACCTTTATAGGAGGAAATTGCACGAATTTTCTTTGTTTAGATGTATTTTATATTCCACGCGGCGTAGTCATGCTTAAGTCAGCGTGACTGAAGGACCCCGGCTCATTGCAAGAAGGTCACCCCGCGGCCCGAAGCATAATTCAGATCAGGAAAGAAGCAGGTGGGTGATGACATCATAAAAGGACAGTTGCTTTGGCAGACAGTGGTGTGGGCGTGTTACATAGCAATTGGTCCCATCGTGTTGTACTTCAGTGCTTGAACGGTGCAAGGACCATGTGTAAAACCCCATTCGGGGTGCCCCAATGTCACCGGCACACCTCATGCGTGTGACGAAAGACCTACCCACGTGATCCAATACTTCGCATCCCGGCCTCTCTCCTCCTTCGGCACAGGCCCAGTTGCGTAATTTCTGTGGCAAAACCCAGCTGGGGGTGCCCGGAGGTCATGGTGGGCTGCGAGGGGATCCCTGCCAGGCTCCGGGGAGAGGCCGGTTTGTAGGGAGCCGTGGCACCTCTGAGTAAATCAACGGGTGCAGTTGATCCTATGGGCCCAGGCACGTGTCCTGCATTCCCAGGACTTGTTGTTTTAATTCTCCCCCAGGCTCCAGGAGGGAGGGCCAGGTGTTAAGGAACATGGAAATTCGCTGCCTTTAATAATTGCAAATTGGGCTGTGACCAAAACGTGTCAGAAACCAAAAAAATTCCCTCTCCTCTTTGACCAGGTCCATTACAAAGGCACTGCTGAGCAACTGAGGCCGGATCTAAAACAGCCTGACTCTTCCAGCAAGTTTTGGCCAACATGCTTAAAAATCACAGCACTGTGAGCCTCTGGAAAAGGAGCCTGTCTTCTTTCAAAGCAACCTCCAAAATGGTTTGGAGCCTCCGGAGAGGCTGCAGGCAGGACCAAGTGGCTCGTCCCTGCAGCAACAGCCTTCGGCTCGAGCTTGAGCCAATGAACTTCAGACTCGCAGAAGTTAGCCTGGCCATAGCAGAGGGTTAGATGAGGGGTTTGATGGTTTCTAGGGGAGGCAGGTGGGTGGGAGTCCCAGCACAGGGCGAAGCGCAGCAGCGGAGCTCCCCCAGTCCCCCGGAGCCGGGGAAGGGGGACCCCAGCACGTGCTGTCACTAACCATCGCCTGCCGAGCATTTAAGGGATCAGTAGTGCTGGAGCTTTCACACAGTATCAGGAAAACATCCCATCTGTCAAGCAATCCCATCTATCAAACCTTTCCAAGCCTTCCTCTGCTGTGGGGGTGAGGGAAGGAGGGAGGTCACAGCTTCCCCAGGCTGACCCCCACAAGCCCTGCTTCACTTTGGGAGAAGCTGGGTGCCCGGGGGCTAAACCCCACTTTGCAAAAGCCCTGGCAGTTCAGGAGGGTTTAGCTTGCACCTGGATGTCCGTCATGCAAAGGGCAGCAAGCCTCTGCCCATGCCAGGGCTCTTTTGGCTGGAGTGGAAAGGGCCTGCCTCTCGTTTTGTGGTTGGGAGAGGCCACGGTGGCCCCCAGCAGCTGCTTGGTGCTGGGCAGGTGTACACTCAGGCCACCAGTTACTGAGAGCAGCTACCTCTTTTGAGGGACTTGAGCGAAAATGTTGAGTCTGTCGTTAAGCTCTGCTGGGGCAGTGAAAGCCAAAACTGAGTCTCAATGTCTAAAGAGCATCCTCAGAAAGGGCTAGTGCAGTGCAAGGCCGGTTTTGGCAACGTCCTGGGCTGATGAGGGGAACCACGGCAAGTGGCTGAAGTGTGGGGTGCCTCCTCTTCCCCGATGGCTTCGGGGTGCTTTTGGAGACCAGGTTAGCAGAGATGCTGAGTTTTCAGTATCACCACTTTCATTTAAAATGGGGGGAGTCCAACATTAAAATGATGAACAACAAATTTGGGACCAAACAATGGATTGCTTGAGTCCGTAGTCGTATGGCCCGAAAGAATGACAGAAAGGAAAGAGAGCAGCAGGTAGGTAAGGATGGGAGCGTGAACTCCACCACTGCTTTACTCACGGGAGGAATCTGTGACGTTAGCGGACAAAGAGCAATCGAAAAGGAAATTACACATCACTCTCGCATCTTCATCCCCCTCCTCGCCAAAGGCTGTAAAGTTAATCAAGGGGAGGCACGCTCCTATCCAGCATATCAGAGGCTCAGGTGGTGTCTGTTGGGTTTTTTTCTTCAGACACACTGAGATGAGGCTCTTCAGACCTCTAGGAAACCAAAACCCTGTGGCGGAACAGAAATATTTGGGAATAGACATCTCTGCTTTCAGCTTTCAACAAACCAACCAAGGAAGAAACTTCGCTCAGACCATGGGTTTTTCCTGACTTTTTTTTCTTAAGGGTCACGCATACATTTTCTGCCATTACTTTTTATCTAACATCTATAAGTCATTTTACAGCCAGGCCTGCAGAAGCTCACCACCTTGGGCGGGGGGGGGAAGCAGCCGTCTTGCCAAATGGCTGCTCTGGATGCTGCTGACCTTCACCAGTTCTGTAAAGTACATTTCCTTCCTATGCCAAAGGATCAAATCAGCTGTCTGCAGAACAATGCTCGTGCGGACAACGTGGAAAAGGCTGCCAAAGCCCTTCGGATAGGGAACCATCGCGCTGGGCTTGGCCTCCTTCCAGGCTCTGCACGCATGAGCAGAGGCTTTGATGGCAAGCGCCTTCGAAGGGGAATCACAGCCAAGTGATTCAAAGGCATTTTGGTGTTTAATTTGCAATGCTTTCAGTGAACGTTAGGCAGCAAAATACCTTTGAAGTTTTGTGCTTGGATTTATTCGTTCTGTGGGACTTGGGCTAGGGGTGTTCCCAAGCGAGCAGATGATTAACTTGAACTTTCTGCTAGACTGGAGATGTAATACTACACTGACTTGCAGACCCTTCTGCCGTGATTAGATATGGTTCCACATTTTTATAGTTCCTGTGAGTTTTACAGCCCATGCCTATTAAGAAATTAAGGGGTCCACGATTGCTGTTGTAGCACAGGACCAAAATCTACGTGCCAGTTTGAATTAACTTACTCTAAACCCTATCCCTTGAAGAAGAAAACCATTGCTCATTTAATCTGTTTTTGTTCCCGTGGGCAAGGCTTACACGCTGCGTTTACTCATGCAAAATAACGCTGACAGCTTGTAACCCAGCCCTGCTCCACGTGGCGAGCACAGCTGCCCGCGGGGCGGAGGGAGGCAGCAATTTGGGGAGATGCAGCCCTGCGTCGCGTTCCCCCATTTCGGCCCCATCTCGGTGGGAGCACTGGGCACATCGCTTTGTGCTGTGGCTGCCGGCGGGCTGGGGCGAAGCGCTGCCTGCCTGGGTAAACAGGGAAGCTGTGAACGAGAATGGGGAGGGGATCATCTGTCTGTCTGTCTTGCTGCCATGTTTGGCTCTGTGCTCACATTGCAGAGAGATGGAGAAAATGCGGAGAAATCCACCCACCCCCCCTCCAATCATTTTTCTGTCTGGGAGAAAACGCCCTCAGATTCTGAAGCATGGTGACAGCGCGGGGCTGTACAGTTTATGGACAAAGATAATGATGAGGTGTCTGGGTGACAATTTATAGCTAGATGTCTCCCCAAAAGCAACTACCGTATACTCATGCTACCTATTTGCAACCAAACTAGCTCGAGGCACCGGTGGCTGGCAGCATACCCCTTTCTTTGTGAACATCTCCAGGTCTAAGCCCTGGTGCCCGTGCCTCCCCAGGCCATAGCTCTCCCAGGCAGGTCATTTCCCGCAGGAGCCTGGACCACGCACGCCACTCCGCAGTGCCCAAGATACGTGCTCTGGTGTGTTTTAGCAGGAAAGTAATAAAGGCTTCAGTGCTAGAATATAAAATAGAGCGAACAATTTATAAGGCAGAAGTATTTGCGGGATGGAGCCTGGCTTGGTTCTTGCAGGAGCAAACCCATCTCTTGGCTCTCGCCAGGTAGTGCTGCAGCATCCCCGAACTCTTGACAGGGAATTGCACAGGGAAACGATGAACACTCCCCTTCCAGTTTTCTAAAGAGGCTTTTGATAAACATGCAGTTTATCTGCACCAGCTGGGCGCTTTCTGCCGGGAGGATGATGCACAGGGCTGTAGGTTACATAGGAGAGTGGCAGAGGGAGGGATGGAGGAGCCGACAGCGGGAGGTGAGCCCTGGGGCGGCTGCAGGCAGGAAAGCTGGGCTCAAGCCAGGGGGGCTGGGCTGCTGAAAGGGCCGCTGTGGAGGTGGAGAGGCCAAACCTCAGCCTCCGCCTTCCTAAAAGTTTGCATTCCTCCAGAAGGCCTGCCCTGCCTGCTGCCTGCGCTGCCCGCACCTCTAACTCCCAAGGTGCAGGGGCAGGCGGGTGCCCTCTGCTGTACAGCGTGCATCCCCTGCCCCCGGGGTCAGAGCAGAAATGGGTCCAGACTGGGATGTTTTGCTTCTCTTGCAGTATGGCTGCCTGCTGCAGGGCACGATCTCTGCAGGGAACTACACTAAGAGTCATTTAATTAACGGAAACGGCACAGAAGGGCCGGGGCAGCACTGGGACAGCTTTGCAAACTGCCTTTCTAGAGTGGTATGGATGCTTCACAAGAAAGGCTTTCAGGGCCATGTTCCTTAAATAACTGTACCTGCAGCGTCAGTTCAGTGGGGATGCTGCGGGCCCGGCTCACAGGTGGGTAAACTGAGGCAGGGAAGGG